GGGGTAGGCATGGATGCCTTTCTATGTCATTAATCATTTATGCGCGCTTAATGCATTAATGCAAGTCTGGGCGCTTGTAGCGTGCTTATGGAGCGCACTCGATTTCAGAGTGACCGGATTGCTGCTGAACGCCAGGGTGCTGTACATTGTGCGTCGTATCGACCAGTAGGTAGAGTAGTAAATGTAGTAGTGTACTTTGGGTCTTAGTTAGAATGGTAACAGTCCAGCTCGTAAGCTGTTAACCCTTGGCTGAGAGCTAGTAGTACGGTGATTCGTTGTGGATTGCTTGTCTTCTGTGAGCAACGTAAGTGGTGTGACGGCTGGTTTGCGTGCCTTGAGGGTTACTGAGAGCGCTCTGGTTCCTGAAAGAGTTATTATCCCTTGGATTAATCGACCCTGCGTGTTGAAGATTATTATCCCTAGATTGATTAACGATCCACATAGATTATCACTGCTTGCGAGTAGTGGTTATTGTTGTTAATAGTCTAGTTTATGTTACAGTTGCCAGGTGATTAGGTTTACCACGTGAAGCTTATTGAATTGCCTTGTAAGGTGAATTGTACAAATAAACCCTGTGTTTTGATATGCCTCGTCGATTTTTATTTGTAATAAACCTATTGCACAGATTTATTGTCCTTAAATACCTGCGTCACTTTGAGGTTAATTAAGGCTTCCCTGTATTTCCTTGTCTGATACCAGTTGATTTGTCATTCCTAAGTGTTGGTAAATTTCCACCAAACGAACTGCTCCTTAGTCCGTTCGTTAGCTGATATCCCTCTTATGTTAGGGTAGCCTGACATGTATATAATATTTGTGGGGTATATCAGGCCAGGTCAGTCCCATTTTTGATCAGGCTGGTCTGCTTGGTCCGCCTCAAGAGGTGTCATTTGTCTCGTCACAAAACCTTTGATCGAGGGGCACTGGACTGTGTGACTGTGCTTTTCTGCCAAGATATTATAACTGACGTGTTTGAACTCCACCAGCTCACGTTGGCTACCTAATAATGTGATGTTCAACTCCCTCAAGATCAGGAGAGTGCTTTAACAAGGGCAGCTAATTAGGGACTTCCAATTACAGTAGAAAGGAAGGTCAGACTTCATTACATTCAAAATTGCAGTCAAAGAGAAAACACTTTAGTCCAAGTATAACAGCTCTCCACGATTCTTGTCTTCTGGTATCACCGAAAATAAAACTGTGACGCCAACAGTCATATTGTGTAGAAGTCTCGTGTCTAATGCAGTAGGCCCAGGTCTTCTCCCAAACGATGTTGACATAATTTCTTCATGTAGAAGCCCTTAGATATTGCCAGATATTGGAACATCTCTTTAAGCTCAGGCAATTTTCAGTTTGTATAAATTGATAAGAAATTGAGCAAAAATCTAAAATCTTGGCACATTACTTGTTCTTCTGAAGGCTTCCGGAAGCGCGCCATCAGCTGTCATCTTTCAAGCTCTATACCACTGGACCACTGTTCATCCTTCCAGGCTTTTTCCTGACTGAATGGTGTTTAGAACTACGGATGCGTGTATAGGACATGACTGGAAAAAAATGCTTCGTGTCCGCTATTTCGCCGGGCGGATTAGTATTTTGCTCGGGCAGATTAGCATTTCGCCAGGGCGGATTACTTATTTCGCCAGAGCGGACCACTTATTTCGCCCGAACAAATTAGTATTTAACCCAGGCGGATAAGTATTTCTCCAGGAGCTGATTAGAATCCCAGGAGATTGGGTGTATATAATCGCACCCATTTTGCAGGGGGATGGATCATCCCCCGCTTTTTCGTAAAAAAAAAGAAAGAAAACGGTTTTTTGAGTACTTTATTCATTCCAAGTCAATTCCATTGCAAAGTTTTTCATGAAGTTTGCCCAGAATTTGCTGGGGGGGGCACAGATTAGGGTTGGGGTTGGGGCAAAATGATTCTTTTCCTACAAATCAAAGTCCATTTTTCTTTGGTCCCCCGCCACAAAAATAAGGCCGGGGCAGTTTCCTCCCACTCAACATTTTTCTCTCTAGCCTCGCAGTGCATTTTCACGCTTTGAGTCTTCCAGGCTCTTTTGGAGTAACTCTTTGCAGTCATTTTTCACCTATTTAATAAGAATCGGACCTGCTGTTTTAGCAAAGTGTTGATTTTCCCGAAGCAGCCAAAAACACTTTCCACGCGCAAACGCTGCTAGAGTACGCTGGCAAGCGCGTGACCCAAACTTCAAACGGCTATAGCAACATCTTCAATTGAACTAAAAATGTATTGATCTTTTGATTAGTTTGTATTGATTATGATTGTCTTTACTTGCATGCAGAGTTTCATTAAATTCATGTATGGGATGGCCGAGTTCTGCGGGGGATCCGCCCCCTGGCTGTAAGCGGTCCCCCATCTGACCTCTGACTTTTTAAGGTTATAAGAGAGAAGTAATGTTCGCATGAATTCCATTTAAAATTACAAGGAAAAAGAACGGCTTTAAACATCGTTACAAAATGGGTGAAGGAGTTTAATCTGTTCCCATGTTCCTTCCCGGCTTGGACACTGAATACACCACTGCATTTTGTCCAAGGGGGGAAGGGGGATTTCCTGGACGGGTACATAGCTCTAACCCACGAACCGATCAAGAACGTCATGGGGATGCATAAGTTGCCCCTTTCACTCTAAACCATCGAGGAAAACAGTCAAAAAGGCAGAAGAGGTACAAGACCAAAGGAGAAAACAGGAAAAAATAGCTTTAATTTTTAAAGCTAGGAACCATGCTTTTTATTCCATTTAGTCTATTTTTCTCATATCTTTCGCATTTTGTTATTATTTTTTATATTATTCTTGGGGGAAGACAAGTGCCCCCCCCCCGCGACAAACATTTACCCTAGTCATTTTAAACTTTCTGTCTGTCACGAGTAAGTCCCCCTTTTTAGAAGAAACAAAAAGGCTGACTCCTAAACGATACTTACATAGCTTGTTCCGGTGCATCAAAGACTTGGTATCCAAGTAATAGATTCGTTCCGCCATGGCCGCCCAAAATAATGATGATTTTACTCAGAAGACACCGACGCATATACACGTAGAAGGAAAGTCTAAACTTTAAACAAAGTGGGTTGATTTAATCCTTGATAGCCCCAAACATGTTTATTTTCCTGGGAACTACACAAACTAAACAAGTTCATTACACACGAACAAAAAACAAAAACAAAAAAAAATTACATTTGTCAAAGTTACAAATTACTACATTAAAATTACCATAAGTATCAGAAACATCCTGCAGAAGGTCCAGACATTTAATTTATAGAAATATATTGATGCCGTCACTCCAGTCCCTTTCAATATCAGTAGTATCAATTTAAAGTGTTTTATATCCTTATAAACAATTATCTTTATGTTATGAAACTGCAGATAAAAGTGTCTGTGATTATAATGTGATAGGTTAAACACTCTCCATTTCTCTAAAAAGAGAGTAACATGCAAGGAACTATTTTCATAATTAAATTTAAGGTTTTCAAGGGCCGGAATGGCAAGACTCTGAGCCTGCGCCCAGTCAAAGTAGAGAAATGATGCGCTTTTGTTCCGGGGTTTTGGATAAAATGTTTGATAGATTCATAAGGGTAATTTTCAATCAGTTCCATTGACCTTCATGTTGACTTAATCTGCGGGGAAAAGGTGATTAATTAGGAGAAAATTTCTGCCTTTGCTAAATGCAGGAGTGAGAGCGCACTTCATGAGTACCTTTGAATCTTCGATACAATGGCGCGCAAAAATGTCGGAACGGTCTATCTGAGTCAACCCCCCCCGGAAATCATCTTGCATTCTGACACACTAATACTGAAACACCCGGTGGTAATCCACCAGGTGAAACAGTAATCCGCCCGGGCGAAAGAGTAATCCGCCCGGGCGAAACAGTAATCCGCCCGGGGGAAACAGTAATTCGCCCGGGCAAAATAATAATCCGCAAGGGGGGAAATAGTAATCCGCCCGGGTGAAATAGCACGCCTGACTTTTTTAGTCATATCCTATATACGCTTCTGTAGCAGAACGGGGTTGCTAGCACACATTACTCTATGACAAAAGTGCTGGCAATTTTTTGCCATCCTGTTGTGGTTAACACACCCGCTTCATTTTTTGCAGTGCAGAATATTGCGCACTCTGTGTGCCTTGTCAAAACAGTTTTGACAAGGCACTCGCCATTAATGAATACCACAACTGTGTGTTTCTTCATAACCAACCAATTATATCATGCCCTTCCTTTCTGACGGTTATCAAGGTTGTTTCCAACACATCATACAAACGATCATGATACAAAGCAAAAAAGGTCAGACTGTGCAAGAGCCAATAGAATTAGACGTCCATTACTTTGACATTGAAGCATGAATTAAATTATCCAATCTCATTAAAGTTGTTCCCTCGTCCGAGAGGAACAAGTGGTTCTTTGTCATGGTTCATATCTTATTATTAAAAAAAAGTCTTTTCACCTTGAGAAAAGAAAATCTAAACAGGTAAATGTATTTAAGAGCCTATCATATTTTTGTTAAAGTAACTTGTATTGTAATTGTGCAATAAATTTTATGAAACTAAAAGGACGTTACCATAACTGATAATGATATTCTCAAACATACTCAGTGTAAAGAACACACAATAATCACAATTAAGGTGTCTGTCTGTCCTCTTATATACACAATAAACCACGCCCGTGGGTTTCACGTGTTTACTGTACAAAGCCGTGTTGACTCTGCGAAGGATGACCTTTAAATGACACGAAAGAAGTGAAAGCGTTCCGTATATCCTAAATATACACGTATTTTCTGCTTCTGATTTGCACATTTCATTGTTTATTTTTTTCATTGTTTCATTGTATGTATTGCGCTTTTACTCGTTTTACTACTCTTTTACTCTTTTCATTTTTCATAGAGCAGTTTGAGCGATAAAAAGACCAATTTGAACAATAAAACAATGAAAAAATAAACAATGAAGTGTGAAATACTCTTTTCATTATTCAAATTGTTCTTTTTATCGTTCACATTGATTTGTTTTGGTTGTAAATTGATCTTTTCATTGTTAAAATATATTCTTTTCATTGCTCAAACGGATCTTTTATTGCAGGGGGAAGTAAACGCCAAACCTACACAGTCCAATGAGATTACCAATTAGATTTTTAAACTCGATGGGCTTTTGACAAACCTTACCAAAGTTTGCTTAGAAGACGGATTAGGGATTAGAAGATTGTGTATTACCGCAAGGACTCGAGAAATGTTTTATACTTATTACTTTCATAAAATTAAAAAGTTTAGTGTTTGGGATGTAGGGTTGGGGTCCCATTTGTGGATTCTTCTCAGACATTTGAAATTATTGCATTATAAATCACATTAAATCTGAAAATGTGAGAGATTTTTATGGTATGTATTAGCATGACATAAATTATCGTGTCTACTTGGGAATAGAGATAATTCTGTAATGTTGATGGAAACATTAATCGGGAAATCCCAGAATTTGGTTTACATTGGGACTGAAGCATGTCTGGAATCATTCAACGCATCCACAACATCTAAGAATCAGAAGGGGGAAGATTGGAAGGAACTGTGTGCAACCGATGAAAATAAATGCTGGGATGTAACTCCCTGTTGTGTCGTAGATCCATCCTAAAGGTAAAAAAGAAGACAGCAAAAGACATTTAAACAAATCCTTGGAAATGGTTAACAGCTCACAATGACGGAACGCTATCCAATGCCATAGTTTACGAGACCCAGTTTTAGTCTCTACGCGTTCAATACTTTGGTCTTGCTTTATCAAGGTGTAGATTTTGTGAGGGCTGGTTTGGGCCTAAAAACGGTAGCTGGTCTCAGTGTTGCTCATGGATACAAAGGCTACTTTGCTGATAGTTCTCAGCCTGCAAACGATGTTGTTGGAAATAAATGGTTGGTGTAAGTCTCAGTCGTGGTTTTAGATGGATGGTTCTGACTGCAACAATATTGTGAATAGTTACAGAAGTGATCTACCCACATAATAGAGAATTACAAATTTAGCTTACCAGGTAAGAAGCCAAGGGTGAATGTCNATGATGGCATTAGTAATGCCTGTCCAACCAAATGCTCAGCTAACAATTCTACGCCGAGGACCTGCTTACTAAGGACATCATTTAAACAGCTCAAAGCCCCAGAGCAAGTTACAATCAAAAGTGATGATGCCATCATTGACCAATACGATGTCAGCCAGGGAGTTGCGCAGAATGACGCAGAGCAGATCGTCGCAGCTATGCTCATCAGCAGGAAGCTTGATATGATCCCACGGTCTACCAAGTATCCCTGAAGTAGGCTTCCCAATAAACCTCCTATACCTGCCACTTGTACAAATGTTGCTGCTTCCTCTGAGGAAAATCCGATTGACTTGGCTTGTGAAACGAAATAAATGATCCACATATCAAAAGCATACTTGGTACTGCATGCTACGATTGCAATTGACCAGAAACGGTAGTCAGCAAGAAGTCTTACATCAAAGTTCATGACAAGATTCTTAATCTTGGAGAGTTTGGAACAAAATGATGGATTTCTCTGTTGAGAAGTGACACCATTCGTTCGAAGCTCTTGGTATCTCCCTGTTGAAGACGCTCCTGCTGTCAGTATGAGGGCGCCACAAACCATAAAATGCATGAAGATACCACCTATGAGCAGCATGGTTCCTCTCCATCCGTAGGTATCAAGGAATAACTGGATAAGATATCCAGACACAAGCAACCCGATGGAATCACCCGTCCATGCTATGCCAGTGGCCATTGCGTAGGTCCCAGTATAATAACGGCCGACGGCCTCTTTCAGCAGCACACCAGAAACTCCAAATGCTGTACCTGGAAGAGAGAAACGACATGTACGGATTCGGCTCAGTAACAAATGACGCGCTGAAACATTTGAGTTCGGTTAATCTTATGGTGTGATCTACATCCGTAAACTAGGGCCCAACGAATATTCCTCTGTCGTATATAAGCTGAAATTGCTCCAGTATGCTCAGTACTGATGGTGTAAACTTTCTGTTAGATTGCTAATTGTAGAAATTCCGCCTTTTCCTCGATTGGACGGCAACAAATGTAAAATTTATTTTGCCGTTTCTCACTCAGTATGAATTTTGGCCCCACTTGTTGCAGTGACCACGGATGGATAGCAAATTGTAAGTCAACTACAACACAACGTTTTTAATACAACATAGCGGAGACTTATCCGCCCAAGCCCCAGGAGGGCGCTATAACGACACAACATCTCCCCTTCTTAGCTGGATCCATACAACTGCAATCAAGTATGATTCAAATAAGTTACTAAACCACGTGTGTGCCACAAAGCAAAATCTTTGCTGTAAATTGGGCAATGCTACCTGCATTAAGACTGTTAATGCAAAAAATTTAGCATGTAATGGGGAGCCTAAATCTATGCAATTTGAATTCAGAACTTTAACGGTTGCATTGAAATTAAGCAGATTAAAAGTGTCTTCTGAGTCTAAGAAAATTTCCAGAGTTTCAAATGAAAGATGCCGTGGACGCACTTAAATAACGGAATGTGTCGGAAGAAATGATTAGAAAATTAAGTAAAAGTTAATTGTTAAAGAATGGAATGGGCTCACATATGATAGTCCTTAGTCAAGACTGGTGGGGTGCGTGTTCTGGTTGAATGTCATGTGGTATCAGGCTGGTTTGCCACAGGGTGCACCACTACAAATAAATTCCCATAGACTGCAATGATAAATCCCCACACTTTGCAATAATTTTAAAAATACTCACAACTCTCACAGGTGTCCAGGCTGCACAGAAATACGATGACCGACATGTCCCCTTTCATTTTCCTTTCAATTTTCGGGGGGTTGACCAATGAATTTTTGAAAAATTTTCACCAGAAGCAGACCACCCCTAAAATGAAGAAAATGTCCCTGCCCAGAAAAGTAGCCATTTTGAAAAACAATCCCTCAGCAAAACGGCCACATAGTGCCATTTTCGGACCCAACTGCATCCAAATTACTCAGAATTTGAAGCCCAGAGTCCGGGCCAGGGGTTCAGTGCCATATTTCTCCAATTTCTCAATTTCATGGCTCTCAGGACTCTCTAATATAGAATATTTTGAGTGTATAACTTTTATTGATGAGCTCGGCGGACATATTTAGGGCCTTTTTGCGAGGGTGCACCCAACAGATTGCGGTTGGCATACAGGCTGTGATTGTCCAGTAGGTGTCATGAGGGTGGCTGGACATGCACTCAACTTGGACGAGTTCCAAATACGACCGTCTTCCGGGATGTATGTGAATGGTCCCTTGGATTTCACAATGAGCTGAGGATAAGAGAATTTCCGTGCACTCTTTGACTGAAGATTAGGCGTTTTTATGCGAACATTATCACCCACACGAAATTTCGACAACTTCGCACTACGGTTGCAATCAGTTGTCTCAAAGGACCGTTCTTGTTTATGCGCTACCCGTTGGCTAACCGAAGAATCAGCAGCGTGTTTAGGGGTGTCACTGCAAATATTCATCCGTGTTGCCATTTTGCGACCATGCAACAATTCCGACGGGGATTTCCCTGTTGTCTGGTGAGATGTAGCACGGTATGCAGTCAGTAAGGCAACGGTGGCATGTTTCCATGAGGTGTGTTCCAGCGAGACAATTTAACAGCGTTTGTTTGAGGACTCCGTTCCAACGCTCTACCTCACCATTCGCTCTTGGGTAGTATAGTGAGGATTTCCTGCGTTTTATTTCCAAATTATGAAGGAAGTTTTCAAACTCAGCAGATACAAACTGAGTTCCATTATCGGAAAGAAGTTCATGAGGCAAGCCTTCACGAACAAAGACTGACAAGAGCATACTGATGACTGTGCGCGAGGTAACTTGTTAAGCAAACGCGACCTCAGGCCACTTACTGTAATAGTCAATCAAAACGATAGCGCAGAGACACTCGTGAGGTGCACCAGCAACTTTCTGCCCTGGACCCTCGGGGAATGGAACTGGCTGAAGAGTAACAATCACGTAAACGCTGTTTACACCGAACAAACCCTGGTGAGCCTCATGTGCTAGGGTAATCAAATTATGCTGTAAGCTGGCTGGTATAACGAAACGCTCACCACGCATCATGCAATCATCAATGACGGACAGTTCGTCCTTGATCATGAAATATGGTCGTAGTGCAGTATCAACTCGTGATTTCTGGGGGCAGCCATTTACCACATATGAAATCACTTGTTGGACAGTAGAATCCATGCCGGTCTCTTTCTGAAAGTCATGTCTGCTGATGGTGCTGTTTACCAGCAGAACATTCAAGGACTGAATGATTACCTCATCGTCAATATCCTCAAATGAGTCCAAAGCAGTGATGGGAATTCGTGACATGGCGTCCGCAGCTGAATTGTGGACACCAGCACAGTATTGATCCATGTAGTTGAAGTGCATAAGACGTGCAGCCCAGAGTGAAATGCGCATTGACTGGCGTCCAGAGCCACGAGAAGACAACAATGTAGTGAGGGCCTGGTGATCTGTCCTAAGGATGCCAAGGCGGCCCCACAAGTACTGAAACCACTTCTCGCATGTCCACACACACGAGAGAGCTTCCTTCTCACCTACAGAATAGCTACGTTCCGCAGACAACAACGTGCGAGATGCGAATGCAACAAGATATTCGTGACCGTTCTCCACCTGAATGAGGACAGCACCAAGTCCATAGGATGATGCATCGGTAGACACAATCACAGGCAACTGTGGGTCGAAAAGTCGTAGAGTAGTGCAGCGAGCGATCAGTTCCTTAATTGTCTCAAAACTTTGCAATGCCGCAGGAGACCACTCGAACTCAGCTCCTTTGCGAATCATGACTCGTAGAAGTTCAACTACTGTAGAAGCGAGTCCGAAGCTAGTCCGAGGAAAGATCGCATTGTAGCTGCGTCAGTAGGACGGGGCACATGCTTTATTGCGTCCACATGGGCTGGATCCGGTTTGAGCCCTTGAGTAGATACAGTATGTCCGAGAAAGCGTAGGGACGACAGATTAAACTGGCACTTGGCAGCATTAAGAGTCATTCCCACATCCTGTATACGTTTCAGGAGTGAGGAGAGATGCTTGTCATGTTCAGCCTGGTTTCTGCTATACACAACGATGTAATCTAAGTAGGCCTGGGCACCTGGCAGCCCACTTAGTACAGATGACGTCAGTTTCTGGAATGCTGCTGGTGCTGAGACAAAGCCGAAGCAAACGCGTCGAAAGCAAAACAGACCTTCGTGGGTAATGAATGAATGGGTGATTGTTCTGCCAGCTCAAGTTGATGGTAGGCTGAATTGAGATCAAGTGCGCTGAAAATTGTTGCATTACACAGTTCAGCAAACAGTTCTTGTAGGTCTGGAATTGGGAAACTGTCAACAACTACAGCGCGGTTAACTTGCCAAAGATCCACGCAGAGGCAAATGTCTCCTGATTTCTTGTAGGTAACGATGATTAGCGAAACCCACTCACTAGCATCAAGACTTTCTATGATGTCAGCCTTCTCTAGACGTGTAGGTTCCGCGGAAACCTTATCCCGGATTGCAGATGGTAGTCGGCGTAACCGTTGTTGCAATGGCGGGAAACCAGGTTTGACTTTGACACTGTGTGCGAACCCACCAGCAGTGCCAATCTTGTTCTAGAACAGTTTCGGAAACTCAGTGCGAAGTGAATCCACGTATGTTGTAGCACTCACAGATGACGTAGACGTATTGGGATCAGGCAATTCTGGGCACATCTGACGAACTGGAACAACCTTGTCACTATCCAAGGTGAGCTGGAGTGACCAGATAAGATCCAACCCAAGAACTGGATCGCCCTTGTCCACCACGTAAAAATCTCCTTCACCACAGTATCAGCATCATCCGAAAGACGAACCATGGTGCTGAAGAACCCGAGCACAGTAATTGGTTCATGCAGGTAAGTAGTAAGTTTCATGGGTGAAGGCCGTAGCACTTCGCGAACAAAGTACTTGTCAAACACTGACACTGGCGGTACCGAGTGGTCAAATTTTATCAGGGAGAGGGGTGGTGGATCACCCAAATTTTAAGGAAACAGGGATGCAGAGTAAAGACATTTTTAAAAAAAACCACTAATTTACAAAAATTAATATTGATCATGAAACAAATCATATAGGGAAACTGACTGGGTGCTTATGAAGAATTATAAAGCTTTAGCTCAGTGGGTAGAGCACTGGTACTGTGTTTCAGAGGTCGCAGGTTCAAGTTCCGCTCCAGTCAATTTCTTTATGCAATTAATATTGAACTACTGAGGGAACAAAGCTGAAGCATATGGGTAGTTGATGGTAAATGCTCAAAGGTAAGATTACAAAGTAACATGATGACTTCACACTATCACTGTAAAGAAAATAATTATGTTAGGACAAAAGTATTCGGAAAGTACTCAGCCGAGTACTTTCCGAATACTTTTTGCTTAAAACTTAAATCTTTACAAACTGGGAGTGTCTGAAGTCTCATAGTTCGTAATCTTACCTTCAAATATTCACCATTAAATATTTGACAGAGAACCTTGGTACACGAAAATTACTTGATTACACAACTTACTCGAAGGCACTGCGATGCTTTGGTACACAATAGGCGGACTCCACTAGCACCTATTGTCTACCAAAGGTTAGAGCTCTTTAGCAATCCTGTCTTTTGTTTTCACCACAAATAAAGCTGTCTGACGCTGATAGTCAGGCTGTGTGCAAGTCTCGTATCTGGTGGTGCAGGTCGAGGTTTTCTCCACTAGCAAATATGTGGGCATACATCTGTGGAGACTGTCAGCGAGGTTAACAGCGGCCCCTTAAAACTGAAGTGTCCTAGTGAGTTACCTGTAAGTAGAATGAACGCACAGGAGAAGAGGGCAGGAGAGGTTGCAAATGAAGCGATAATAGTAGAGGCACCAATCATCAAGCCACAAGTCATGATGATGGAGCCAGTTTTGAAGGATCTGCCTATCAGTCTCGCGAAGATTCCTGCAGAGGTGAATATTGGAAGGAAGGTGTGCATGCATATTAATACACGCTTAAATGTCTTAGTTGTTATTCACGTTTTCACGTTATTCACGTTGTTAGTCCAAGTTTCCGTACATGTGTTTTACTCACGCAGAGGACAGTTGCAGAGAACAATAATAGCGCACTTTTTTGCATGAAATGTGATGTATATTTAGTAAGCCCTATATTAGATGACATATTTAGGACGGGAAATATGGGTGTGAAACTTAGAAACGGTGCGTAGAAAGTGCTGAACTATTTTGGATTTTGCCCTGCTTGACGTGTATCACAACACTGTATACTCAATGTATGCCCCTGAAGGCCTGTTAAAAAACATAAGCGTACTCGCATGAGACTCGAACCCACGACTTCCTGCTTAATACTCGTGCAGACATCTTAATCGTTCGATGACCGTGTTAATTAACATCTCCCCGGCGCAATTTGTCTTTGGAAATGGTTGATGGCGGTTTTAAGAAATAATATAAACAATGTTTTCCATAAAGTAGGTCAAAGTGTCATTAATTGAATTCTGTTTCGAAGTGCTTATAGTCATGTCTTACTGATTTTTGCTTGAGCCTGGCACCGGCCTTATGCCACAGTCTTTGCTGTGGAACTGTTTTGTACTTGAGTTATATATCCTGTTGGATTAACTGAGTATATGCACTCTGAAGCCTACCTACTAAGCCACATGCCGCGTGTATGGTAGACGTTGCTCCACCAAGAACCCATGTAGTGGTATCAAGCTGTTCTTGCAAGATGGGAATCATCATGCCCAAGCCTTTGTAGACTCCAACCATTAAGAAGAACCTGATCCATAGAGCCAGTACCACAACCCATCCTTTGCGGTCATCGTCAAATCCACTTGAATTCCTCATGCCTTTAACTGCTGGTACATTCACAAGGAAAGATAGAGTAGCCCCGGTCACGTTTGCCCCTGCAAAACTACTTTTATTTTGAACAAATACCTAATTGCATAAGTATGTATAGTTCACTTCTTAGTTGGAAGGCTATACATTGTACCAAAGGACATGATGTTGTTGGGCTTGTCATATTTCAGGCTCCGACCTGCCGGCGTTTCTGCTACACAGAGAGAGAGAGAGAGAGGGAGGCGTGTTTCCACAGAATTGAGGGTTTATAGACAGGTAGACGAAGCTTGATCATGAAACCGCTGGCACTTACCTGAGATTTTTTCCCTCCTAGCTGTTGTGGCCGACGCAACCGCTCTCATACTACAGGGTTCAGTGTGCCGTTTACACTCTGTGCCCTGTCAAAACTGTTCTATCATTCATGAAGCCCACAATCCGGGTTTCTTCATATCACACAATGCCTTTCTGTCGTTGCCAAATTTGTTTCCAGAATATCATACAAACGACATCTCGCAAAATGGAATATCTAGGGTTAGATGACAGGAGACTCAACAATAGGAATAGATTCCCAGTGCTCTGATTTTGAAGCGTGAATAGCGTCGTCCAGTTTAATTGTAGTTGTCCACTCATTCGAGGTGGTCCGGGCTAGCAGTCAATATTCGATTGGAATAGTAGCTTTTGTCATAGCCAAACAAAATAGTTCCACTGAAGCTGGCCGTAGAGTGTTGACTCGAACGCGGGAATATCAGGATTCGTTTATAAATGAATGATTATCATGGTTATTATTGTTAAAAACCCAGCTACAGCTTTACCCTGGTGGATAATAATAATTGTTTTGATTAATATCAAATTGTTTTATATTGTATCAATTTGATAAGGTATCAGAACCCCAAGGAGTTCAATTGATAAAATGTAAGTATGGGCTTAAAAGAAATATAATCAAAATTACAACTTCCTCAAATTAAGAATTGCAATCAAAAACGAGTCCTTAACTTTTTGAATTGCTGTGCAAAGCCACCAGAACCTTTTCTTTTTTACCTCAGAAACAAATGAAATAGTTCTGGAAAAGCAATAAAACACGAGTATGTTACAATCTAGTTACTTCCCACTCTCAAGCAAGATGCCCTCTACCCAACTGGGAGTGCACACAACCAGCCCTAGCTCAGCGCACTGTCCTTCAAAACAGACAACAGGTCTTCTTCAACCCCCAGCCACAAACGTGGAGCCTTGCCGCGTTTACAAGAAACATCCGAGCCAGATAAAGAGGGACAGAACGGACTAAAGATATGGACAAACAAATCCAAAACTTACAGGGGCAATTCTGTGCCACATCGTACGACATCAAGGTTTTTTTCGATAAATCTGTGAATTACATACGCGTTAATTTGACTGCGAAACACACATTTTTGTGCAAGTTTAATATTGGCCAAGGCGATGCAAAGTCTCGGAGGAGCACTACATGTATTTTGTACACAAGAAACAGTTTTCACAAAATGACTATTTGTAAACATGCTTGTTAGAGAGGAAATCACCGTTACTTGTATTTGTTAGGGGACTAGTCACTGTAACGGCTGAAATTAAACGTGACTGGTCAACGCGGGATGATAATCCACAGGTCGTGATTTCGAGTCGAAGCATGACAAAAATACTTGCTTGGTTGGAATGGATTTCCCAAACTTTCCTTTTCTGCCAACTTGCTAGTTTATGAATACATGTATCATCAAAATGGAAATATAAATTAACGTTTTACAGGTAAACTTCTCCCATACGGATTGGATCTTTCTTTTCATTCAAACTCATAATGCTTTGCAAAGTTAACGCCAAAAAGGTGTATTGCACCAGCGGCCTATTCCTTGCTAGGTAAGCCTACTGACTAATGCATTTTTTTTGTTTGTGTTTTTTTATGGGGGGGTATATTTCCACCCCTCGGGATTGACATCCATGAATTGCGCCGGAGGCTAACCATGCATCGTTTGGAACACTGAGGTGGGAAATAGTGGAAATGAACATCTTCTTCAGACTGCTCACCTGTTAATTCGGGTGCTGTCTTCCCATGTTTCCCCCATGAAGGTCCGGCTTTGTTCCACCCACGCCGATAATCAGGCTTTGGTGCTGCCGAGAAATCATCTTTACCCTTGTCCATACCGCAGACATCGCTAGCGCCGTAGGACGACATGTCGGAATCGCTATTGGTAAATAATTCTTGCAAATTGTCTTCATTTTCCATGCATGTTTAGGCCGTGATTGCTCATTTATGTTTGTATTTGCGCAGTTTGCGGGATGAGCGACACTCGTCCTTAATAATACACCAAAACAATTCCAACGGCCTAGAAATCTTTACAATCTGTGTCAAAGAGGCTAGGCGTTGATTTACCCCAAAAGCTATCAAACACAATGAAGACCTAAGATCCAAGAAATAAATATGCACCGTGGATACACTCCAGCGTTTATATTTCGGCAGATAATTCTAAATTCTCCTAATTCTCTAAATCACCATTATTCGCATATCTTTAATTGTTTCATACCTTTATAGTTACGTAGAATTAAAAGGGGTAAATAATATATCACTAAAACGTTACACCTGATATTTGTCTTTAAAGTAGGTACAACAACTGCTGCTAACAACAGAATCATTTTGCCAGCAAAAGAATCATTTTTACTAATAGAATTATTTTATGCTTAAAAATTGTGTTTCATTCTTTACAAATCGCATTACGCCCAATGCCCTCTTCACAAGACATGAGTGTATTAATTTTCTAATTTTCGCTTTCTTACACAAGTCAAAACCAGTTAGACTGGTCACAAATGCGTTTATATCTTGGTCAGATTCTTCCTTCTTGGTTACATGCATTAGGCTACCTATGGTCTAA